TAAAATACCTGTTCGGTTTTGGATTAACATCCTGGATCTGGATTTCCTTATCAACCACCATCATTGTTAACGCATCCAAGTCATAAACTAGAGCCTTTACATAGTCAGTTCGATCTGCCAATATCACATATTACAAATACAGCCGATAGATTAAACTCAGCACCATTGTATATTGATGATTATACATATAGTATCAGCTCCTTCAGATTTGAAAATGTTAGCAAAATAGCAGCACCATCTGAAAATGGGAAACCTTTATTATCATGAGCATGGGAATCAAAGCAAATAGTAATTATCATCACAACGAAATATACTTATTGTAAGACCTGATTACATTGTAATGTGAACAAATTAGAATTGGATTTATATCTATATCAAATGCAGTTCTCAGTGCTGTTGATATATCAATTAACAATGACTGCTGAGCGCCACTGTGTACAGTGGCAGATCCAGAACTTTTCATAAAGGGGGGGGGGGCTATATAATTAACCAAGGGGAGGGGCGGCCCCCAGCCCCTCCCCCCACCACCTTTTGGATCCGCCTGGGGTGTACAACGACTCCAAAGAATAAATCATCATGTACGAGTACATTAAACTGTCTACCCCACATGCAAACATCATTTGGGACCTCGCTGTGTTGCAAGTATCTTGGGTTAACAAACTATGTAAGTGCACTGAAACCCTTGCCCATAACTAAACCGTGATGCTTGGTGTTTGCTTCCTTGCACACACGCAACCATATTACTCACCTTGTTTGTTTTCTTTCTTCTAATCAGCTGTTTATCGGCAATTGTCTGTTTTGTTTACATCAGAAATCAATGAAGCGGTAAATGCGCGGGGAAACGAAATCTTCGTATCAATACGGTAAATTCCGTGATTTTAATATTTTCCAATCAATATGTTCAAGCAATGAAAAATATGAGGATAATATTTTTAATCATAGAGCACACGTTTTGTGTATTTACTATTTAAAATTATAGTTTATGAAGAAATATAGCAAAATATGTTTCAATACGCACTATAAAGTGAAGATTAGATGTATTATTGTTTTGTTTTTGAAAGAACATTAATAATCCATAAATACACACCTTTGTACCAAAATTGCAACAAAATTTCAAGATAACATAAATTTCATCATCACAGAATGATATGATTTGCTCAAATTGACAGGGCTTCGTGAACTAAATTTGGCTTAAATTATGATAGCAATTGAACACTTCATTATAGTTTCTACCGATGACCTACTATCATGATTTTTATCCGACCCCACTTACGGACGCGTTGACAAATAATGCATACAACTCAATAATAGCCAATCAGACGTTAAGATATCCTTCACTTCCCCCAGAAGCAGCCCGGAAGCAGCTGAGATGCAGCCATTTAATGTTATTTATAACCAATGAGATACCGTTAACAGATTAACCACATTCCAGACGTCCAGCCTCTGACTAATCAGACCGTATCACCATGGTGATACGGTAAAAATGTAGAGCTCGTTGATTGAAACATTTTATACATTTAATGTATGCAGCAATCTCTTATTGTTTTCTTAATATGTAAGCATGAAATTGCAGCGTAATTTTTTTTGCACTCGATGACCTTTGACCTTGAGTGCAAATGAAAGGTCACATGAGCTAAAGATTATTAATGAAGGTCCCAAGTCTCTAGGACTTCTGGTTCTCGAAATATAATTTTTCAAAAATTGTCTCAAATGATTCAAGAGAAATAACTCTGATAACAACATATTTGTTTATGTCTATTAACATTGCCATCTATTCTTGTACATGTTGCCATTTTCAGATCGATTCTAACTCTAATACTTTAAAAAAAAAATGCAAATAAAATAAATTGCTTCAAGGGGAAATAACTCTCAAATAGGGAGATTAAATCCTACGCAGCCTACATCTGGATCTACCTGTTATCCTAATAAGATCAGGATATCTTCAAAAACAAAGAGGGGGGGGGGGGGGGGGGATGTCGAAAAAAAAACAATAAAGGGAGATAACTTCCAAATTTAGTCTTGATAACTCTAATGTAAACGGGGGGAAGGCATGTAAAAGAAAATGTTGGAAGAAAAATTAAAACAAAAAAAACATTAGAAAAACAATAAGGTCTTTGGAAAGAACTTAATCATTCAGTTAACGCACCCCTCTAAAAATAACCAAAGTTAACTCACTTGTAGATCAAAGAAAAAATAACAATTCATGTTACAATTATGTATAAAACGTCATTAGGAAGTTTTCAAATCTTTATAAACCAGTGCCTCATATTATAGTAGGTGATTATTTTATTTCAATTTCATGACACAGACATAAATAACTGGACTTGGATATTAACTATTATTTTAATGTCACTGCACTCAAATCACACTAACAACAATGAACAACCTTTTACTGAATCAATTAGCTAAATAGTTTTACAAATTGATCAGTTTGCTTAGGTGAATACATACTGCAACTGGGTAAAACTTTTAAAGCAATTGGTATATTAATAGGCAAAAACCTTCTGGATAGAGACAATAAGATAAATGATGGATTGCAGAAACATTAAATTCTGTGCATTCAAATTTTTTTCATTTCATATTAAGAGAATATGCCATTGCAAAAAACTTCAGATGTGTATGTATTTTAAGGAATTATATTGGGAAAATAATTACCAATGATATTGTGCCTTTCCCAAGTCAGGAGCCTGTAGTTCAGTGGTTGTAGTTGATTCATGTCTGTCATGTTTGTTTTTCGTAAATTATTTTGTTATAAATCAGGCCGTTAGTTATCTTGTTTCATATTTTTTTCATTTCGGGGACCTTGATAACCGACTATACGTTGTGAGTTTTTTTCATTGTTTAAGGTCGTACAGTTGCCTATAATTGTTTACATCCCCTCATTTGAACTCTGGTGGTTAGCTGTTTCATTGGCAATAATTTTTATACCACATTTCCTTATTTTTCAATTAATGGTGATAACCTACACTTTCATATGCAAAATCATAAAATAAATAAACTTTTTCAGAATTGATTTGATATATAAAGACATAAAGGGTGTAATATTAAATATACAAATAAGAAGATATAGTGTGATTGTCAATGAGATAAATATCCACTAGAGTTTAAATGAGGAAGATATAAACATTTATAGGTCACCATACGACCTTCAACATTTTCTTATTTTTGGTAGACGAAGGTACTTAAATCTATAAAAAAAATCTTTGTCTCTATAACTCACTTTTACGAGTTACAATAACATTTCACTTTTGTTCAAAACACAAAGATACATATGGAATCTCCGGATTACTTCGGTATGAAATATTCTCGACATCCCGAAGAGGTAGCGAGCAATTTGGGAAAATGTTTTTTTTTCTGTATCTAGTAGTGTTTCTAAATATTAGTTATAACGGGACAATCCAGTTTTACAGAGATAACACTTTCATGGGAATATGTTCGGTTTAATTGTGAAAAATAGAAAGACCAATTATAATGACTTAAAACATGCTTCATTCATCACAAGACATAAGTGTTATTTTAGACATACAACTGTTGAATTAAATAAAATTGAGAGTGGAAATGGGAAATATGTCAAAGAGACAACAACCCGACCAAAGAGCAGAAAACAGCCGAAGGCCACCAATGAGTCCTCAACACAGCGAGAAAATCCCGCACCCGGAGGCGTGCTTCAGCTGGCCCCTAAACAAAAATGTGTACTGGTTCAGTGATAATGGACGTCATACTAAACTCCAAAACATATAAATGAACTAAAATTAAAAATTATACAAGACTAACAAAGGACAGAGGCTCCTGACTTTGAACAGGCGCCAAAATGCGGCGGGGTTAAACATGTTTTGTGAGATGTCAACTCTCCCCCCATACCTCTAGCCAATGTAGAATAAACAACGAACAAACAGCAATACGCACAGTAAAACTCAGTTCAAAAGAAGTCCGAGTCCGATGTCAGAATAGGTAACAAAAGAAATTAAGCAAATTGAAAATGATACATAAATTAACAAAGGACTGCTAGCAGTTACTGACATGTCAGCTCCAGACCTCAATTAAACTGATTCAATTATTATGTCTTCATCATAATAAAATGCATGTTTATCATGTAAAACATTGAATTTGTGTACTTTTGATATCTTAAATCATCATTTGTTATTTATAGTTGCTGTCACCAAAATATTTTGTTGATGTATTAAAACCTAGCAGTCAAACTTTAAATATTACTTAAATAATTTAAACAAAATATCCAGAAAACCCTCGGTGAGATAAGCAGCTTTGGGTATTTGTGCAAACACTTTCTAGGAAAACGAGGACCTAATTACAAAATGCTTGCGTCATCAAATATTTGTGATAACACATTTTTTTTCCTTAGTAGAAGAAATTAATGTTGTTTTGTTTGTTGTTGTTGTTCAATAAATTTGAGCGCCCTTGGCTTCAAAGTGGCTTCCATTTTTATTTGTGGAGAGAGCCTGTGTTCCTTGAGTGAATTATTGATCTTCAGCGGCAGGAATCGGCAATCCTTATCAATTAAGATTGAACACATCTCATTACGTGCAGAGTTTAACACAAAATTAAAGAGTTGACGGGACACTTAGACAAATCGACGACCAAATCCCCTTTTATAAAAAAATGAAGAAACTAACGTTATATTTACATAATACTAATACAAATACGAATAAGTCATTAAACCATTATTATAGGTTCATAAAGGACATGTTTAATACATATAATGAATATGAAGTAACTTCAGTATATGTCTGTGCGGTAAACAAGTTGTCATATAAATTTCGAAGATGTGTATTAAACATTTTGATATAAGCTTGTGTAAACCGTAAGAAAATCTCACTTAACAAACTTTTATATAAAAAAAATTGAAGTACATGTCAAAATATGATATGCATAAGCTTAGTTTTGAAACTGTTTCTTTGACTTATGTCACAGCCGATAAAGTTCAGTGCATAACAATTAATTCATAGATCTTCTATGATATCAGTATTTTATCTACTTCACAGATAATAAGCAATTAAGAAAACACGGAGATCAATATAAAATAGGCCAAAATACCTTTTGCCTTCATCAACAGCTCAAGCTGGAGTCACTTTTCAACGGAAGATTAATATCAGATATAAAGATGCTGGATGATGGTAGACTGGTGTTTTGCGTTCCCGACCAGTCAAAAGTACTCGTCTGTAACAAAGATGGATCGAATACAGACACTATACAAATTCGGGGTGCACCATGTTGTTTAACACCAGTAAACAGTTCTACAGTAGCTGTAGTAGTGGTTAAACCTTTTAGAAGCAGCTTTGTTGAACTGTATGACATTAATATCAAAAGAATACTCAAATGGATACAAGTACCTGGGATGAAGAGTGCGTGTGGTATTTCAGCTATGCACACTAAGTTGATAGTAGGGGGTTTGCGTTCACTATTAATTGTTGATCTACATGGTAAAGAAACAATACAAAAGATTAAAATACGCTGTACACCCGAAGCAATTCATGCCTCTGATAACAAAATCTTCTTCAGAAACCACCACACCGGTTTCATATCCAACGAAAGGAAGAAATTAAAGTGGTACAGTCTTTCTGGAAAGAAAGTACTGGGCAAGATCCTATCATCAGATCCATACTCTATCACTTCTCTACGAGATGGTAGCTTGTATGTGCTCTGTATAGATGGCTCCATACGTCATGTATCACCCGATCTAAAACATGAGAAAACCGTCAATGCATACAACATAGAGGCATTGAAAGGCGGTGATATTGTCAGCTATAACGCAAAGCAAAATACGATGGTTTTACGTAACAAGAAGATTCTGAACATCTTTCAAGAACAACAGTAAGACTCATCATATTTTTATATGAATATTATTGTTGAGAATTAATTACTTTTATATCCTCACATTTATTGTTTTTTTATTTCGTTAGTAAGGAAAGCAGTTGGTTAAGTAAATGGTAAAATTTAGGATAAAGCAAGAAATTACAAGGAATTTTAGACCAACATATATATTTACCTTGTGTTTGAGATCTGATTAGAGATTGAAACATTATTGAAAGCATTTTTGAAGTTTAAATACATTACAAAAAATATTTGTCTTACTTTCGGAGTTGAAAAAAAGAACCATTTTGGGAGATTTTTCTATATTGATTTGTCAGGCATCGACAATAAAACATTTGATATAATATGATTCCATTAATATTTTCTCACCAAACAAATTCCAGCTTAAGTAATTAAATCAAAAGACTTGCAAAATATATTTTCATATTGGACACTATGCCTTCTAATATGTTTAGAAAGCATGACTATACGAAGCCTAGTATTAATCCTGAACCATTATGACTAAGGTTGTCTAATATTCTTATCCTTAGGAATAAAAAAGCTACTTAATCCTTCTGTGATATATAGATGTTTTGATTGGCCAATACTCATTGTAAATTAAATCTTTCAGTTTGACGTTTTATTGTGATACGAGGATCTGTCGCCATCTTGGATAGGTTTAGATTTTTAATGTAATAAGCATATTCTAAGACAGGAATAGAATGTACTTGCAGTGCTTTTTATTTAAAAGAGGAAAATTATATTAGTTTTTCTTTATGTTATAATTGATTTTACAATACAGAATATTTTTGATTGATTTTATCATAAAATGTACGGATAACTTTTCAATTTGTTTCACATCTTATAACAAAATTATGTCATTTAGTTTTCTTTCTATTTACAAAATAACCTGTTTGCCTTGTCAAAACATTACAAAATGTGTCAAGTTTTCACAACCTGTAGTTTCAAAACAAGCCTAGTGATTTATCATCTTTATTATACCTTTGAAAAAACTCACTAAGACTACATTCTAGTATGCATAGAATATGTCAGACTAACCTAAATAGTTTATATATTGTATATTGTTTTAAATACTTGAGAAAGCAGATTATGATAACATTTCTTCTTTCAAAATACTATTTTCATCATAGATGAAGTTATACCATAATTTAACATGTAACTTATATAGTTTTATTTAACTTTTTGATTAATTCACTGGAAAAGTTTTTACTCCTTATCGTAACTACTTCATTTCACCAATTGTGAACAATAATTTTGCTCGGAATTTTAGGGTAAAATAGTTCAAAAGTGTTGAAATTAATGATCATATTAAAGTGTTGAAACTAATGTTTGTATCAAATTTGAAACTAATGCTTATATTAAAGTGTCGAAACTAATGCTAATATTAAAACTAATGTTTATATAAAATAAGGGGTAATGTTTTTCAATAAATAGCCATAACTTCGGCCTTTATAGTCAAACACAGAATGTATTTTAATGTAATGAAAATGAAATGGATGCCTTTATGACAATCAAAACCTCCGTAAATACTGAAATAAAACGGTTTGAAAGGTCATTTTGTATCTTTAATGCATGTAGTTATTTATTGACACCATTTTGTTATTTCTTTTTGAACTATGGGAAATTAAGTTGGAATGCAATTTAGCGTATAAGTAAAATTGAACTAATACAAGAATCTCATAAGCAATCGAAACCAGTTCACTGACCTATCATAAAAATTGCTTAGATAGTACATATTGTGTTGCTAGCATCTGTAAGAAATAATATTTTTGTAATTAAAAGGTGGATGCATAAAGTAGTGATATTCACCTACCACATATGTACAGGGAAGTTTTGTTCATTATGTTACATATCATTCACATGGTTGCAGTTTCAATATTTTCGGTGTGTATCATGTATAGGCAAGTTAACAACATATATATTTTAACTTCTTTTCTGCTTTTATATTCAAAACTCCATTGCTTGATTGTGTGGTTTGCATTGTCGTTGCAAAATATACAGGTTTCAATATCATTAATAAGCTAAATCTTGAACATAAAGTTTAAATGCTAAATTATATATGTTATATGTTGGTTCTAGGGAAATTGTTACTTTTAATTTTGCTTGCATAGTTTTAATTCTTGTTGCAAATCAGCCAAAACTATATTTATCTATTGTGACATATTGTCATTTACCAGTTTGCATTTTGTGTTAAGTAATGTTCACTTTCGGGACATTTTATAGCCGACTATACGGTATGGGATTTTCTCATTGTTGAAGGACGTATATTTGTCTATAATTGTTCACATTTACTTCATTTGACTGCAGATGTATGTCGCATTGGCTATCATTCCACATAGCCTTCTTTTTATACTTACTTCTATCCTCTCCAACTTTGGGGGAGGGCCTGTCTTGTTGTATAAAAAGTTGACCTTAGATGGATTATGATATTGTTTAAGGTTCTTGTTGGTGATATTGACGGTTTTTTTTTCGTGGATTTCCAATTTTCGTTCATTTCGAGGATACAGGTGAAACACGATTTTAAATGTTCAACGAATTAAATAAAGGATTGTAAGCAGACTTGGAGAAACCACGAAATCAAATATCCACGAAAATATAAGTTTGCCTCAATCCACAAAAATTGGTTCCTACGAAAATAAATTAATTCAATGTATAGCTATTCAACTGTTTTGATTATTTCAAATATTCGACTTCGTGCGTTCCTGATTAAGGTAAATCAAATAAAGCGCTTCGGACGCTTGAAATTTATAAAGTGTTGTTTTCTTTTTGTTTTAAATATTCTTGATGATTTGTGTATATGTATCGACTGTGTATTTTTTTCATGCATTCATACGTTTCGTTAAAAAAAGTACCTTACTTTTGTACCAATGTCCGTGTCTTTGTGTTCTTCACTGCTAACAAAAAGAGCATTTTTTCCATTAAATATGTATCATGTACTAACAGTATATAGTCGAACCTCGTTGTGTCAAACTCGGTTGTGTCGAAAAATCGGATGAGTCGAAGTAATTTCTCGGTCCCGGTAAAATTCCCATTTGATCAATGCATAATTACCTCTGATGAGTCAAACTCGGTTGATTCGAATACTCGGTTGAGTCGAGTAAATTTTATAGTCCCGTCGATGTATAATTGATGTAAATTGACCCCGATGTCTCGAAGTTCGAAAGTAAGAATTTTCAAAAGATACAGGCCTAATGGTTTAATTAATATGAAGGACCAAAAATATGGAGATTGAATACACAAGCAAAAAGTGTCATATCGAAAAAAGGTACACTGTTAAAAGTATCTAGTTAACACAAATCTCATAAAGTATTTCATGCATTCCAAATTTATGACGACCCACTCGACCTCAGATGATTCGAACCTCGAATAAGTCGAATACGTTGGTCCGGTCCCTTCGACTTTGACATAACGTTATTGGTAACCAAAGAAAATTTGTAATAAAATGGTTGCCTTTAAAACATTTCCTTAAAGAAAGATATGAACGGTTTGAAAAATCAATTTGTATCTTTAATGCAGGTAGCTGTTTATTAACATTTTTTTTCTCCTGGATTATAAACAATTAGGGTGGAATACAATTAAATATTTAAGTATAACTGAACAAATTCAAGAATTCAATACAAAATCAACCCTTGTTGACTGACCTTTTAAAAATTAATTGTATATCATAGTATAATCTGTTGCTAATATCTGTTAGGAGAAATATTTTTTAATGAAAAGGTGGATGCATACATGTAATGTAGTTGTATTTACCTACCACAGGTAAGTTTAATCATTGTTTTAAATATCATTCTCAAAGGCGCAGTTTATTTTTTTAGGTGCGTATCATATATATTCAAGTAAGCATTTTATTTCTATCTTAAAGGAGTGCCAGACTCACTGCATCATTGCATTTAATAGTGCCATTACAACAACTCTTATCTAAGGTCTCCTTTCAATGTGTGCGGGGTGAATTTAAACATGAAATCATAATTTTCCCCGAATTGAACAATGTATATGGATATTGGTTATTTTTAATATTTTTAAAGTTTAGTACATTTGTTATTCTTTATTCGTAATCACTTAATTACTCTAATGTTACGCGGACGATAGGAATTCGATCTATGGTATTAGTGCTGTGGACAGATCAATGCTCTTGTTGAGGAAAGGTGGATCAATTATTTAATAAATACATAAAAAGGTGATGATCTGGTTGAATAACAATTTAGAGTCATTCAACATATAACTACAATCCCGTACCCTTTTCCCGAATGTGACCTACCAAAATTTGACTTATTACCGGGTGCCACATGTGGAGCATGGTCTGCTTACCCTTCCGGAGCACCTGATATCACCTTAGTTTTTGTTGGGGTTCGTGTTGCTCAGTCTTTAGTTTTCTGTGTTGTGTTTTGTGTACCATTGTTTGTCTATTGGTCTTTTTCTTTTTTGGCAATGGCGTTTTCTGTTTATTTTCGACATATATGAGTTTGAATGTCCCTCTGGTATCTTTCGCCCCTCTTTTTGTTCTATAGAAATTGGCTGTAATTTTTATTTTGATTTCCAAGCATATAAGAAATATTGAAAGACACAACCCTTAATGGAAGCTACGTGCCAACATAAGCATATTTTACCTAATCAGTATTTTGTAAAAAAAATTGTAAATGTGTGTCGTCAATGCTTTTAAACTTTGTCTTTGATTTTGATTTTAATCTAAACTATTTTGATTCGCGCGTCACTGATTAATCTTTTGTAGACGAAACGTGTGTCTCCCGTACAAAATTATAAGTCTGTCATTTTTGATGGTTTTTCCAACATTTTGTCAACACTTCTATTTTGGAATTGCAAAATATGTTTTTCTCTAGCTGTTTATGACGTCTTTACGCTAAATAGATATTGAATATGTATGGATTGACATTTTAGTCTAGAAATAAAATTGAGAATGGAAATGGGGAATGTGTCAAAGAGACAAAAACCCGACCAAAGAGCAGAAAACAGCCGAAGGCCACCAATCGGTCTTGAACACAGCGAGAAAATCCCGCACCCGGAGGCGGGCTTCAGCTGACCCCTAAACAAAAATGTGTACTAGTTTAATGAAAATGGAAATCACACTTAACTCCAAAACATATAAATGAACTAAAACTAAAAAACGTACAAGACCAAAGGCCAAAGGCTCCTGACTTGGGATAGGCGCAAAAAAACATGTTTTGTGAGATTTCAACCCTCCCCCTATACCTCTAGCCAATGTAGAATAAACAAACACACAGCAATATGCAAGTAAAACTCAGTTTAAAAGAAGTCCGAGTCCGATGTCAGAATAGGTAACAAAAGAAACTAAGCAAAATCACAATGATACATAAATTAACAAAGAACTACTAGCAGTTACTGACATACCAGCTCCAGACCTCAATTAAACTGATTGAAAGATTATGTCCTCATCATATGAAAATCAAGCACAATCCCTCCAGTTAGGGGTTTAGTATCATACCATCATCAAATATATGAGTAGAACATAACCCGTATCAGGACAACAACTGGTTTTAGAATAAATGTGTTTATTTCTTCTTTTTTTTTTAACATATTATACTTTATTTCATTAAAGCTGTTTATAAATCTTTTAATGAGACAGCTTTCTACCTTAGATACCCTAAATACTATAAATAATAGGCTTAGGGTTTACCTATAGATACTAATACTATTAACATAAGTATTTACAATTCACAATTTTCCGGAAATATAACAGTGTTTTCCGTATATTTCAATTTTACTAATAAATCGTCCTATATAGTACAATACTACTATAACAAACATGCAGTTGGGTTTTAATTTCACAATTTTTGAGTATATAACTAATGGTTTTAACTTTTGCTGTTTAGTGTCACTGAAACATGTGGAATTAAACAGTTATACAAGTTTTAGCTAAGAGGTAAAAGGAGTTTTTTTAAAATACTTTCAATTTGCTTCAGCGTAAAGCTTTTTCTTGTTTCATTGCTTTGTAGTGGTTTACTCTTGACAGAAATTATACTTAAATATATCTAACACATTTACTTCTTTTTCTAGTATGCATTATGTATACTAAATAATACTATTGTTATAAAAAAAATAATTTCATAATAGTTTTCTTTAGTTATTTTATATCCAAATATTAGGTTTTCTAAACTTATAATGTGATATCCAATTTTGAGTTTATTAAGAATTAACCTAACACTTTCCCCCCAAAAAAATTGTTCATAATTCTCTTTAACATTGCATATCTTACATAAAGGAGTATCTACTATTTTCCAAGTTTCTAGTATGTGTTTACAGGGTAGTAACCAATGTCACAATTTCCACCTCAATATTTTCAATTTATTATCTTTTAAGTATCTAAAAATAAACAGTATAATGTGTTTTATTTTCAAATTAATATCTACAACTTGCAAATTATCTTTCCACTTTACAAAACCTATTGGTGTTTCTATGTTAGACTGTAGTAGTATATTATATATTTTTGTTGTTGTTACTTTTTGTAACTCATACTTTTTATGATTTATACTTACTATTTCAAATTTTTTGTAAAAGTAAACTTTTGTTTGCTTTGATTTTTCTTCTTTAAGTAAATTTAACCATTGGTTTGGTAATGCTTTTTTTTTAAATTTTGTATATTCTGCGAATCAATTACAATGATATGATAGTTTGTTTAATATCAAATTTTGAGAAATATCTCCATTATCATCCAGGATATCATTGATATATAGTATACTATTTTTAATCCATTTATTATAGATTAGACATTTGCCATTTAATTTTATGTATTTGTTTCCCCATATTATTTGTTTTCTTATTTCAATAAAAATTATTTGGGATTTTTTCTGTTCTACTGTTTTTCAAATTCACCCAAGTTTTAATCAATTCTAAGTAAAAAGGTATTACCTTGTTTTTTTTAAAATTCTCTATATCTTGTGTTTTATCTATAGATATAAAAATATGTTGTATGAGTGCCAATGAGACAACTCTCCATCCATGTCAAAATTTATAAAAGTAAACCATAAAGGTCAAAGTACGGTCTTCAACACGGATTCTTGGCACACTGAACACCAGATTCCTGACTTAGGACAGGTGCAAACAATTGCAGCGGGTTTAAACGTTTAAATGGTACCAAACCTTCACCCTTATCTGAAACAATAGTGTAACATCACAACATAGAGAGACACACTATAAAATATCAATTGAAATGGCTTAACTCAATCAAAAGACATATTAACACCAGTGAACATACACTGAACAAATAAATATGATCTTTGATACAATGTTAATACAAAATAAATAAACTAAGGGAAGAACAATTAAAGTAACATGTCATACCGCTGTGAAATGTTAAACAATTTAAGAAAAACGATATGTTTGAACAAAAATATCAGCCATTTGGAATTACTTTAAACACAGGTAAATGGAAATAATTTTGTTGTTAGGTATACGTGTACAGTTCAAATGGAGAAAGGAAATAGTTTTACAAAATAAATAATTTTGATGTTCATAGTACGAAAACGTGAAAATTTATAGTAATACCAAACACTTTTCAAAGCTGGTATATAGACCAGATATAACCATGAATAACATTAAATAACAAAAAAGCATTACGATTTGTATCAACAGGTCAAATAAACAAGAATGTACGATTTGAGAGTACTCGCAGTTACTGACAGCTAGTTAAAAGCCAAAAACAATTAATAATAAAAAATCAGGCATCAAAGACTAAAATCAACTCAAACACATCCCAGGGATTTAGTATTTTAACGTCATGGACAGTCAAAGAAGACATGACTTGTGCAATGCCAAAAATAAATGTATCGACAGGCAGTAGGCTAGTTAGGAGATAGATCAAAATGAACGTGGGTGTGTCTTTACACATCCCGTTTGAAAAGAATACAAATTTAGTTATGTTTTAATTTGCTGATGACAAAATCGATATTAGTGCCAATGAAAACTATATTCAAAGATCTAATTACAACATTGGTAAGATAACCTTTACTAATAAGTTTGTTTAAAGGTTCGATGAGTTTATACGGATCACATAGTGATTTCTGCGCTTTAATACAATTTCTGATTTCTGATTTGGTACCATTTAAAGCTCAGAAATCAACTCAAAAAGTTCTCTGAAACTGACATTATCAAGATGCTTGATTTCTTGATTGACAACATATTTGTTACGTTTGGAGGACGTGTTTTTCAACAGACTGTCGGAATTCCAATGGGAACCATTTGTGCCCCTCTTCTTGCCGACTTGTTTCTTTATTATTATGAGGCTGACTTCATACAGGAACTTCTTAGGAAGAAAAATCAGAAGCTAGCAATATCCTTTAACTTTACGTTCCGCTATATAGATGATAAATAATACAAAATTTGGTGACTATGTTGAACGACTCTATCCCATCGAACTAGAGATAAAGGATACTACAGATACAGTTAAGTCTGCCTCATATCTTGACTTACATCTAGAAATTGACAATGAGGGTCGGTTGAAAACAAAACTTTACGACAAAAGAGATGATTGCAGCTTCCCAATTGTGAACTTTCCATTTCTATGTAGCAACATTCCAGCAGCGCCTGCATACGGAGTATATATCTCCCAATTGAAACTATATTCCCGGGCTTGTATTTCCTATCGTGATTTCCTTGATAGAGGATTGCTGCTCACAAGGAGGCTATTAAACCAAGAGTTCCAAATGGTGAAGTTGAAATCATTCCTTCGTAAATTTTACGGACGCCATCACGAGTTGGTTGACCGTTATGGAATAACCGTTTCACAGATGATATCGGATATGTTCCTTATGTCGGAACTATAATACCCTTCCCTTTTCACGAATGTGACCTACCGAATTAGACTATTTACCGGATTTGTAATAACATAAGAAACACGACGGGTGCCACATGTGGAGCATGATCTGCTTACCTTTCCGGAGCACCTCAGATCACCCCCAGTTTTTGGTGGGGTTCGTGTTGCTTAGTCTTTAGTTTTCTATGTTGTGTCATCTGTACTATTATTTGTCTGTTTGTCTTTTAATTTTGGCCATGGCGTTGTCAGTTTGTTTTCGATCTATGAGTTTGACTGTCCCTCTGGTATCTTTCGTCCCTCTGTGGGATATATAAATACCGTATGATGGAGCCAAAGGAACATCGCTCTCTAAAAAAGGAAAATTAACAATAGGGAATAAAAAGTCGTCTTTTTTTTGTCGTAAATTTTAGTATGGAGTTTTCCTTTAGAGATTGAAATGTCCAAATCTAGAAAAGGACAACTACTGCTATTTATGTTAGATTTAGTTAAAGTAAGTTCTTTTGGGTAAATTTCGGTAGTATATTTAGAGAACTGTTCATTTAAAAAATTAAGTAATTTTTTTCCTAGTTTATCAAAGTAGAACTGATTAATAACTTTCAAGTTTAGTAACATGTCATCATTGTTAACTAATCTTTTAATCCAATTTATTTTTAATGATTCAATATAATGTACAAACAACAGATCTTTTAACCTTTTCTCTGTTATTGTCCCAGATAAAGTTATTTATTATTTTTTAAAATTTTAATATGTAGTCTTTATCAATATTGATTACTGATGCTAAAAATGTGTTTATTTCAAATGCATATACCCAATGAGTGAATCAATATTGATACCAAAATATGCCATCTTTAATGACCTGACAACAGCAACATGATTTCTTTATTAGTCATTATTAGCTTTGAACAAGCTTTCAGTAACTGTGAATATATTCAAATCGATACATTGTGTCTTAAAAAAATTGAGAATGGAAACAGGGAATGTGTCAAAGAGACAACAATCCGACCAAATAGCAGAAAACAGCCCAAGGCCATCATTGGGTCTTCAACGTAGCGGAAAAATCTCGCATCCGGAGGGCAGCTTCAGCTGGCCCCTAAACAATAATGTATACTAGTTCAGCAAAATGGACACAATTGTGCTTTGAGTCGATCTGATAAGTGAAACCGTTTTCAACTGATTTTAAAATCTATTGATCTTATGGTGTGCTGTGTCATCACTTTTCCTGGTTATCGGAGGGTTGGACGCCTGCAAACATGTTTAACCCGCCAAATTTTGTATGTACCAATTTTTCGTTTAATATATAAATAAACTAATCATAGATACCAGGATTAAAATTGTGTACGCCATACGCGCGTTTCGTCTACAACAGATTCATCAGTGACGCTCGAATCGAAAAGTTAAAAATGTCAAATAAAGAACTAAGTTGAAGAGCATTGAGGACCCAAAATTCCGAAATGTCTTGTAAAATACAGCTAAGATAATCTATTCCTGGGGTAGTAAATTCTAAGTATTTCAAAAATTCAAAAGTTTTGTCAACAGTTATTTATAATCATGACCGTATCAATGATATTTAATGTCAACACAGAAGTGCTGACTACTGGGCTGGTGATACCACAGGGAGGAAATATACACCAACAGAAGAATCGACCCAGTGGTTGTAAATAAACTCAACATAGATACCAGGATAAACATTTTGTACCCCAGACGCACGTTTTGTCTAACAAAAGACTCATCAGCGATGCTCGATCCAAAAAGTAAAAAAAGGCCAAATAAATTACGAAGTTGAAGAGCATTGAGGACCCAAAAACGAAAGGCAAAAGATACCAAAAGAATATTCAAACTCATAAGTTGCGGAAAAAAACTGACATTGCCATGGCAAATACGAAAAATGACAAAAAGACAACCAACAGTTCACAAAACACAACATATAAAAACAAACTAAGCAACACGAACCCGACCAAAAACCGAACGTGATCTATAATTTAAAAATAAGATTTGGTAGTATTGTTTTGTTCATAAATCAGGTAGTTAGTTTTCTTGATTAAATTGTTTTACGTTTGTCATGCCAGAGCATTTTAATGCTTGTTATGCGGTAAGGGGTTTGCTCATTGCTCTTTTTCTTCTTCTTCCTGTTTAGCGGTCAAATCAACTGTCTGATTATACTGCCACTGTCTTGCGCATGAAGCTCAACATAATAAATATATTATATACAGTCATGTGATGGTTTAAAATCTTTATACAATGCTATTCAAAAACAGTGTTTTGGATTATTTTGTAAACTGGGCCTTGAAACATTCAAGACTCGGGCCGATGATAATAGTGGAATTTGGTAAGACATTCCATTCCCGTATGGATTTTTGGATAAAATGACATTTTCCTTATGTCAGTCCTACATAATGGAACCCGTAGTATCCAGTATGATCTGGTCTTGGTGCTTGGCTATTGGAATAAGCCTAGATGTTGCATTTTTATTTATGAGACCATTTGTGATTTTATAAACATCATGCACATCCCTGTTGTTGATCATATTTCTTCAAATTGTTGCCACTCGAGTTGTTTAACCATAGCGATTACTGATGATGTACTACGGTAACTGTTCATGACATAACTACCCCCTCTGTGTTGTAACATCTCAATTTGTTTCTTGTTTTGTTGATAGGGGTCCCAAACTGCGCTTGCATATTCCATTGTTGGTCTTAATAATGACGTGTATGCATTTCTTTCAGCTGTCTGTTCTTGATGTTTAAATTTCTTCTTGGCAGATGTTATGTACATGGATACTTTCATTTAAATCTGAGCTGATGGTAACTCTTAGATATTTTCCATCTGATATTCTCTCGAGTACATGGCCGTGTAGGATGTAGTCTTGAAATATCTTTTCTTGCTTATGGTCATGACATTGCATTTGTTGACGGCCATACGGTAACCTAAAGTTGTAATCAACTCATACGTCATTCGGTTTCTGGTGAATTTGTCTCATTAGCAATGATACCATATCTTCCTATTGTTATATTAAGATAATAATTATATAGTCTTCGTA